TTTCTTTTGAGAGAAAAAGAAAGCATATATATCAAGTTTGCAGAAAGGAGGTTCTGGCCCCATAATTTTTTTTTGGCTGCTGTAGTGACAACATTTCAGAAACTCAATCAAATAAAAAAAATAAAGTATTTAGACCATGTTTGGAAACTTTAAAAAACAGTTCATCTTAAATTTTAAAGTGATTAAACAAATTTAAAAAAAAAATTAAAAAGCAACTCATTTTATATAAACATGAGCCTTTTTTAATTTTTTAGACTATTTTAAAATTTAAAATGAACTGCTTTTTAAGGTATCCAAATATGTCCTAACTATTTTAGTTTTTTCTATTAGAAAATGGATGGAAACTAGACTTTTGAAACATGTATAAGACTTCGAAGATCAAATTGTAATGAAAAATATTTGAGACCAAACGTTCAATGTTAGTCACATTTTCATTGACAGAAAGGTTTAATTGCACAAGATGAGAATGCCCAGCATTTGATTAAACAGAAAATGATCTTGGGGGGGTTAAATGTTTAATCACAAGAAGTTCAAGGTGAATTTAGACTTTTGGTCTAAAAAGAAATCTTTGTCATGGATATTTAGCTTTTAGGAGGCAAAAGGAAAAGACGATTTCAGCACTTGGACCAACATCTGAACTCAGTTCTAATGCTTAAGTGTGTGATTTGCATCCTTTTGTGCTGCAGAGGAATGAATCAATTTCTAATTGGACATTGAAAATTTCAAGAGAATGGATAATTTTTTGCATTTTACTATTGTTAACCTTTGTGTAGTTGTTAACAAGGTTGTTGTTGCAGGTTGAAGATGATCTGGAGAAAGGTATTGATAGCGCTGTGCCCATTCCCTCTGATGATGCAAGCAAAGAGGAGGTAGTTGCAGCTTTGGTTACTAATGTAGAAGAGATGATAAAAGCCGATCGGAAGATCACTGCCTTAAAACAATTGCAGGTGAGAGAAATTTAAATTAGGAGCATAACTCTTCCATATAGAGCCTAACTGGAATATGACCTAATATTAATTTATGCAGGGTCATATATGGCGAACTGGATTTGAAAATAATGAATTGGAAGGAGTAGTTTTTGAGGATGTGCCTGGAGCTCTTGAGAAATGGCATTCTTCAGGAATAAAGGTCATTTATGACTTTACTTCTCCAACTTCTTTGCTTATTTTTCCCTGATTTTATTCTAATTTCTCCTTCTGTCTCTCTCTTTTGTGCTTTCTGCAATTAATTCAGAATGACAGATAATATGCGTGGAATTCTTTCTTGTGCTTTTGGTACTGACATGCTATGTAGAATATCTGGATGATTCATAAAAATATTCTCGTTGATATGTATATTAATTTTTCCAATTAATAAAACTGGCTGTATTTTAACTTGCAAATGTTTGAAGAGGCTGTTATTTCCTTTCACCGTTCCTTTAATGGGCATTACCCTGCGCTTATTCTTTTTAAAGGAAATTTCCCATCACTAACTCACTAATTGTCCTGAGTAGAAAAGTTCATTTGGACCTTAGATTGTACTATCTCTGGTACTAATTACTAGTGCTTGGGTAGTTGTAGATTTTTTGTAAAAATGCTATGCACTTTCAATTTTTTTGAAAGGTTATCAGTTTTCTATTTGTTTGTGAGAGTTAAGTTTACTTATATGCAATTGTTTTCAACATCATAGATTTTGAATCGTGATTATGTAGTCATGTAACTAAAGAGAACCAAAGTTGTGTTCCATATAATGAAATACCGTATTTATTCTTTTGAAGAAAATTCACTGGTAATTGTTAATGAGACAGCATAGGACTCACAGGAGCTTATTCTTTAAATGAAATAACAGGTAATTGTTAACAAGCTCATTCTTTTAATGCACTGCATATTATATTGCTGAATTCTAAAAATTAATTAGTGGTGAATCTTCTATTTTGCATCTAACTGAACTGAATTTGGATGGTCCTATACTTGATGGCTTTTCCCTCAACTCATATGTTGATGGCTTTTTTGGTTAACCTGATTATTATTTTCAGATTCATTTATTGTGTTACTTTGAAATAGTGGAATGTTGAAACATTTTATGGTATGTTGATGGAGACCTATATACATTATCAAAACCTCTATATCTGTAGCCTTTACAATGTCCTAAGTGGTTTTGTTGGGATAGAATGGGACAAAGATGTCATTGAAATGTGTAACCTTTATAATGACACAGGTTTAGATGAACTAATAATTTAACAATGCCTAAACTGGAGATGGTGAGATGGTGATGGCTATGGTGACGATGGAGAGGGAGAGGAAGCAACTGAAGTAGTGAGGGTGATTTGTTTGAAGTTATTATTAGGCATGATCAAAAAAGGAATAAAAAAGGTAACAATTTAGATAGTTCTTCGGGTGGCCAGCCTGTGACAGATGTAGAAGTAGAAGTAGAAGTGAATATGGAGGAACAATTATTTAGATAATCCAGACAGTGAGGAGTTATACGCTCCTGTAGCCTCAAAATTGAAGTAGCATGTGTTGCTAGAGTGCTGTGTGTTTGGAGAAAGTTAGTTTTAGATTTGTTTGCAGCAGATGGGAACCAGGTAAACATGTGCGTGCAGTGGGTCGGGTGTGATTTTGAGTTTGAAGGGAATTATATGAGGGTATTTCAGCATTTGAGTTGGTAAATATTGTAGATTTATTTTTCTTACTTTAAAAATTAAGTATCAATTTGATAAAAGTTGAAAATACAAAATTTTCATGTTTAAGTTAAATTGTTAAGGACCAATTTAAATAAAAATGACAAAGTACAGCGAGGTCTTTGGATAATATCCAAACTCCCTCAAGAGTTGCTTTCTTCACGTTGGAGGCTGGAAGGGGGTGTATACTAACAATAGACAAATTGATGAGATGGGGAAAGTTCATGGTGAATAACCATGTCCTATTTTCTATGTAAAACAGATGCGGAGACTTGTAATCATGTCCTACTTTAGTGTTCTTTTTGCATACAAGTTATGGAGTATAACTTACAGGTGGCTGGGGATCAGTTAGCTGATGGTTGGGTCGGTAAGGGATGAGATTTGGGTCTAGAAGGGTATCAGTGGTGGGAAAAACATGTGGATCTCATCCCCCTTGCTATTTTTTAGGTGATGTAGAAAGAGAGAAACAGGAGAGCTTTTGAAGGGGGGGGGGGTAGATAAAGATATTGATGGGTTTAAGAATATATGGTTCTAGATCCTGGATTTTGTGGTTTTGGGTCAACCTCTTTATTCAAAGAAGGATTTTGGTGATCTTGTTGATATCCTTATTTATATGTAATTGCTTTGTATATGGATTGACATCCCCATTGGTGCTTGTGAATCAATTATACATACTATACTTATTTTTTAAAAAAAGGTCTTTGGATAATTATCTTCACTGCTTGAGTAGTCTTTAGAGAAGGATTTAATGGGAACACTGCCTTGTTCTCTAAAACTTGTAAATCCTTAGTATCTTGATAAGGTAGCTGTTGAAATTTATATGTAACATTGGACCTATTTCAAATGAATTTGAGCTTTGTGGATTATTAGTTCATTAGTGGGAGAATTGCATCAATCATCTCTTTTCTCCCTTACATAGAAACATAACCATTTTATTTTATGTCGCACTTGTTGGCTTCTCTCCTCCTATGTGAGCTCGTTTAAGTTATGAAAATATGGAGTTATATTCAAGCGTAAGGTCTAAAACGATTTAGCTAGTTATTGACTGTGGAAGGGAGGCTTTTTTTTCCTCAAAACTGTCTAAACAACAGGAGTAGCTAACCAACAAGATAGTTCTCTAATCTGTTATTCGCTCTCAAGTTAATGAAGGATAATTATGCACAGTGATCAATGTTCTTAATTAGAGCTTAATCCTCTGGATAAGAATGATCTTGATGCTGTCAAAGAGGACTTGTTGGTGCTTAACCTAGGAATTTAATTATCTTTGACCTTCATCTTCTATGTAATAGATTATAAAAAGTTTTTGTTCAGATGTAAAATATTCCTGTTTATTGGATATTTCGCTTTGTGACCTTGCAAAGTTCCTTGTTGATGTTACTAAAGATTCATATATCTTGTAGGTCTACATATATTCTAGTGGTAGCAGGTTAGCTCAAAGACTTATCTTTGGAAATACAAAATATGGGAATTTACGAAAATATTTGTCAGGATTTTTTGACACTGCTGTTGGGTAAGTTCTACAACTTCCAATGAGGCTCTCCTAAAAATAGTGTCTCACCAACAATTTTATGGTAAATAAGAACATTCTATGTTTATTGCTTGCAGGAACAAAAGAGAAACGAAAAGTTACATTGAAATCTTCGAGTCTTTGGGAGTTGATAAGCCATCCGAGATTTTATTTGTAACAGATGTTTTCCAAGAAGCTGTAGCTGCCAAAGCTGCAGGTATTGAGCTGCTTTCAGCATTTACTTCTTTGTCAACTAGCAAAATGTTGTTCCAATAGTTCCTGTCATGCAAACCATCAATCTATCCTTGATGTAAACTAGATGCCTCTGTCTTGTTACTCTAAAACTGTAACTTTAGCAAGTCATGGACAATCTTCTAGACTTTATGATGGATCTATTCATTTTCCATGTGCTACACATTTAACAGCCATATGGGAAAATTGTTGTCTGCTGCTACCGTTTGCTCTGTATTCTTACCTTTACACCTTTCTTTGTGTATGATCATACAGTTAAAACTAATACTAAAGCTCTCAACCTTGTAGGTTTGGACGTTGTAATCTCCATTCGGCCTGGAAATGGTCCCCTTCCGGAGAATCATGGCTTCAAGACAATCAATTCTTTCTCGGAAATCTGAGGTGTCTGTGTGTTTCTGTTTCTTTATTATACAATATATTTTGATATAGGTTGTGCTCTATCAGATCAAACATAATACGCAACACCAGTTGTTTCTGAAATAAGGAGGCATCTTTTTTAGTTCTCAAACCCTCACTTACATTGTTCCTTAAAAAAAAATTAAAACAAAAAACCCTGGAATTTGAGTCTATAAACCAAAGGCCAATTGGTTTACAGATCATCCTTCTTGGTAAAAGTTACAATAATTGGAGATTTCCATTAGCCAAATTCCCCACTTTTGTAGGTTGGGTCTATTTAGTTAAAAGTATTGTTATTTTACCAAAAAAAAAAGGGTCTGCCACACCTTTGATTCTTTGTCGGATAACTTCAAACCTGCTAGGGATTATAGCATCAGGCAGAGAGGATTTCATTGAAGAAAATTTTTGTGCTGAT